GACCAACTGCATTGCTGCAGTCTTTCTCAGAGTTATGGAAAGGTTGACCAAATTTGGTTTTCAAACCGGTAAGGGTATTGAGATGCTACGTTTCCGCTTTTAGAACAGTTATATCTTGGACTCAATGGCAAACCTGGTTGCGGAAGTCTTATGTGATTTTTCCAAAGCGTTTGATTGGGTAGGGGTAGATCACAGAATATTATTGGGGAGCTCCACCTTTATGAGTTTGAGGGTGTGGCTCTTGAATAGTTCGAATCGAGGTTCGAATCCTCTATAGCAGTGTGTTCAGTATTTTAAGGATGTATTATCGCATCCAATGTCTGTGAGATAGGGATTGTTCAGTGGAGTCATTTTTTTGTCTGGCATTTTGAGGGCTGAATGTGGCTAGTTAGCTGATGAGAATATGGGTGATTTTAATGCCTGCTACTCGTTCGAAAATTTGGATAAGAAAAAAATTGATTTACATGAAGAATTTTTTTTTAATGATCTCAAATTTTTTGGCTTTTAAATAAAAGATTCACATTAATAAATAATCCACCCATGAAAAATACCAGATGCTCTTCAATAGCTGAAAAAGTTGGGATGGGTGTCAACTTCCAAGAGAGAAGAAAAGAACCTTCCGCGTTTACTTTTTGTCTGGCAATCGAGAGAATAGAAGGTTTTGTTGTGAAAATAACGCTGAAAATGCCAGACAAAAAAAAATAAATACTTCACCAAACATGCCCTATCTCAGGGTCCATAAGTGCTGAGGTGCCTGAGAAATCATTCCAGGGGCATTATAGTTTTTACTTTATATTAATGACTTGGCCACTTTGAATGGTTTTGGGAATTTTATGATACATGAAACAGCACAATTTCGAGCATATTACCAAATTGTTATGCCAATACCATTATAGTCTTGAGGCTCGGGAAAAGCTCGAATCAGAACATGAAACGTGTCGGGAAAAATAAAAGCGCGAAAAAAATAAAAAAAACTGTCGGGAAAAACTCGAAAGCAAGCATTTGAATATGCTCGTTACAAACATGCAAATATCAAATATGTAATTCAATTTCGCTTCAGCTGATGGACTGTTTTTTATTTTGCAATTACTTTGAAGGACTGTTTAGGTGCGTAGGAAGCTGCGCGCCGCGCAAGATGCAAACCGCACAATGTGCTAGAGATGAGCTAAATCGCGAATATTCATTCGCAGTTATAACTCTGAATGCCATTTTTTATTCACTGTGAATATAATCTGGGAATGAAAAATACGAATGACATTATAATGCTTTTGGGTCCATACTATACGCCGTTTTGCGATTGCAAGTATTGCGATATTAGTAGGTATGTTGTTTGTTGTTGTGTATGATAGGTTAAGTATGCTATGTGATTGCTTCTGTTTTATGATGTAGAGTAGTTTTTAGGGGATTACTGCGAATGATGCCATCCTATTAGTATATTAAAGTATAAGTGGATATTAAGGTCTTTAAAACACGCGCGATTTTTCGAGCATGGCGGCGCAGCCGGAGTGCTCGGTATAGAGCAAGTGTTTTAAAGACCAGTTATCCACGAATACTTTACACTATTTTTTTTTATTGGTACCTATACGTTCAAATCTTAAATTACTAATAGTTGTAGAATGCTAAATTCGTGATATGACATCTGGTATACCTTTCGTTGTCTGACAAATCAATAATTAAAAAGTTGACATTTAGACTATACCTTTCTTGGGTTGTTGATGTTGTCAGTGGCGACGCCAGGGGGGGGCCAGGGGGGCCGGGCCCCCCCCTGAAATTTAGCTGGCCCCCCCTGAAAACTCTCCCTCATGTCGACAACAATGCAATGCAACATGCGTAACCTCTGCTCTCTGGTTAATTTGATATTTGGTGGGCGCCAGGCAACCGCGACTATGCTTTCGCTTTTCTGGGATTCCCCCAAACATATTTGCGTCGGCAGGTACAGGGTTTTCCTGTGTATTTTTGGCACCTCACCTGAAGGCCGGTTTCTCAATAGCAAGCAAGTCACCCCCGGGTCAGAGCAGTTAACCATAACTCCAGGGTAAACATTGCAATTGGATACGTTTACCCTGGACTAGCTATCGAGAAACCGACCCTGAACGGTTAATTGAATAGGTATCAAGAAGATTTACCTATACAGGGTGTCCGTTTTTCGAGAGCAATCATTGGAATATAGGAAACGGTAAGAGATACAGGTTCGGTGAAATAGGGACAAAGTTGCGCATTTTCTTGCTTAACAAAACGCTACTTCGAAATTTGGAAAATTCCGAATACTTCCGGAGATACATGGAAATCAAAATTTTGTAAAATCCATTTCTATATTTTCCTGGACTCATTTGTAAAGGTATTTCAAATAAACTTAACTTTATTGGGGCAACTTTCTTCCCTCTACATAATGGTGTAACCAAATTTGAAATCCGACGTTTCGCCGATCATCATCAACTTTATTTTTTTAAATAGAGGTTTGCATTTTTATGAATTGTATTCGGAGTTTCTTGATCTCCCAAAAGCAGTAACACATTTGGCCATTGATTCCGATTTTGTATCTCTTACCGTTTCCTATATTCCAATGGTTGTCCTCGAAAAACGGACACCCTGTATACAAAATCCAAATAAAAATCTTTTTGATACATTCAATTAAGCTGTTCAGGTGGAGTGCAAAAATATACGGATAAACTTTGCAATTCCCATTTTTTATTTCAAAGAAAAAAAGCAATAAAGTAAGAACAAGTGCCCCCCCTATTTTTTTCTGGCCCAGCCTGGCCCCCCCTAACGTAAAACCCTGGCGTCGCCACTGGATGTTGTCATGGTTACTTTATTAAAACACGCGCGTTTTTGAATGTTGGATTTAAACACGCTGAGGAGTACTTTAAATAACTAAAATAGGTTATCAATAAAAAAAAAAATTATTAAAAAATAAATAAATAAAACGAAGTTCAATTTTTTTACAAGGTATAGTAAATAAATGCGCTAAGTAAAAATAACTTCACGCCCTTCGCGGAATAAATGCCTTGCTTGCACGCAGGATGCGGCGCATAGCGACGAGACGATGCGAATGATCTTGATCAGCAAACGTTCAGGCGAACGCGATCTTTTATTTCCCTTTGGATCGCCAGCATGGAAGTGATAGTGAACGCAGCAACTTGCTACGTTCACTATTCACTTTGATCGCTAGTCGATATCGCTCTGTCTCTGTTCGATGTGTGTAGTTCCACGAGTTCACGTCAGCTATTCGCAATATGCTATATTTGCATTTCGCAGTTTATTTTAGAATAGTTAGCAGATTACGATTGCGACTTTTCATTCGCAGTGAATTTTTAGCAGTTCGCGATTTTCTGCTCATCTCTTCGATTCCTCTAGCACTTTTTAAACTTTAATTAAACTGGATGATGGCTATTACTATTAAGTTCAATTTATAAACTCGCCGTCGAGATTCCGTTTGCGTTTGCGTCGAGCACGCCATTACCAAATGAATATTGAAAATCCCATAAGATCGTTTATACTCGCCGTCGGCCTCACAGTTCGCCGTCAGCATAAAATAGAGACTACGGTAACCAGCGAGGCGGACGCAAACGCAGACGCAAACGGAATCCCGACGGCGAGTTTATAAATTGAGCTTTAGCAAAGCATTTTTTTATATTTTTATCTCAATGATTTATCAGTCTGATGTTTGTGATATTTCAGCAATGATGTCCGATACCTTAATTAGTTGCTTGACAATTTTTTGAAAATATTCCTTTCGAGTATAGATAGATAAATTTGAACTTATGAAGAAGAATTTGTGTTTTATATTCTTGAATGTGATTAGGTTTTAAAATTAGTTTTGGTATTTGCTTAAGTATATTTTCCCTGGTTTGTCAATAAGTTTGTTTTGCGATAATCAAGCTTTTTTGGATTTGATTTGATTAGTAAATTCTGTTACGGCAATAAACAATAAAATTTTAAACTACGGAAATCTCACATCGGTAACCTTGCTATATGCAGAGCTGGGATCGTTACTTGAAAAAAGTAACGCGTTACTTTACAGTTACTTTTGCTTAAAAATAACTCGTTACTTAAAATTTAAAGTTACTTTCGAATAATGATAACTTTATTTTCGTTACTTATTGGAAAGTATAACGCGTTACTGTAACTTCTTTACTTTGAAAGTAACTTCTTTACTTTAAAAGTAGTTCGTTACTTTTAAAGTAACGCGTTACTTCAAAAATAACTAATTACGTCGAAAATTGCGTTATTCCTTAATTTGACTCACCTACACAGCAGTCCAAACAATCAAATAAGACCTATACGAAATGCCAATATGTTTTTAGTTTGTGAGTCCGACTATGTGTAAGAGTATACTTGCAAAATTCAAACGGATTAAGGATTAAGCGACTGAATAGAGCACTTGGTTTTGGACAAACCTGCTGTTTGAAGCGTCCCAGTGTCTGCATATAATGTCTTTAGAGCAGAGGCGGCACGTGGCACGCCTAAAAACGATTATTTTGAGCTTTCAAAACAAATTTTCTGTACTACCAACATTTTATTTGACATACAAAGTTTTTGAATTACTTATTTTCCTTTTCTTCACTCGTAAATTATTTGTGAAGAAGATAAACAAATTGAGAGAACGTGTTACTTTCATAGTAACTAGTAACGCGTTACTTCCAGCGTTACTTCAGAAAAGTAACGTCGTTACAGTTACTTATCAATCAATCTGAAAAGTAACGAAGTTACCAAGTAACGCGTTACTTTCAGTAATTCGTTAAAGTAAAGTAACTTTTTTTTGTCGTTACTCCCAGCTCTGGCTACATGTCAACTGCGGCCTACCCTACGCACTACGCACAAAACAACACGGCGAAGGAACTGAAGGAAGGAGCAATGAAGAAGAAGAGAGGCAAGATGGCTGCTGCTGAAATGACACACAAACGTTTATGTTTTTTACTTTTTTCTATGATTTTGTCCAGTATTCATTAAAAATAAAGTGCTTTAAGCATAGCAATCGAGTTTAATAAACAAATTCTTACCAATTTTCCTGTAGGAAATAAATCCCACACCATCCTGGAATACTCTACGGCACTTTCAATGCCCAAAGTCCATAGAGACTTCGAGATAGGTGGTATAAAATCGGTTCTTCCCTTCAAGAATCCAAATTCGATAGGACTTTCACAGGATATTCCAAAGTATGGGGTGTGATCCAGAACAAAAAGGGTCTTGTGGTTGGTCGGGTACATTTTGCTGCTTTTACAGATCTTGAAATTATATTTTATAAAATAGAATATTCTATAAAATAGGACAGAAAAAACAAAGGAGTTAAGTGACGTGTCAAAAGTATCAAGTGTCAAAGCAAAGTTTAGGACAGTGCTGCCAGATTTACCGATTTTTTGGTAGTTCTACCGACTTTTGATTAGGGTAGGATAGATTTCCATTTGCAAATTGCGTTCGTAGCAAAAGTTTTAGTTTAGCGTGAGCGTGACAATAATAGTTATTTGTTTTACTAGGCAGAAAAGTACAAGATTTAATGCCGCGGCTGGTGTTTCATAGCCGAGGCGTAGCTGAGGCTAGGAAACCAGCCGAGGCATTAAATCTTCTTTTCTGCCATGTAAAACATATAATTTTTTCCCCGAATGTTGAAATTCACACATGGACATCTTTTTTATATTTATTTCATTCATTATTATTATCCAAATAATTAAATTATTTTGACAATTGTCATTGTCACCATCAATTTCAAATACCAAATTAAGTGAAATTATTACCTGGAACGTTGTGACACTGTCACTTTTAATGCCTAGGCAGTAAAAGTCCACTTTTACTGCCTAGGCAGTAAAAATACAACTTTTGATCCTGTCAAGTGTCATTAAAAGGCCGCTTTTACTGTCATTCGGAGAAAAAATATTATACAAACCTCTATCACTCCAACGTTCTTCTCCTTACCACTTCAATGTATGCATTGCCATATAAGGCAATGAAATGTGTGTTAAAACCAGGAATGTGCGTTTACACGTAGACTTTCATTGTCTACTTTACGTGTAGACAATGTAGACAATGTAGACTGGGGCTATTCCGGAATTCGCATCAGCGCATCGCAGCAGCAACAATTGTCAAAGCGTTCCGTAATCGAAAATGGTGCATTAGCAGCATTGGCGCCACTGGGTTTCGGAACGGAAAGCTGGGATGTGCTGTCACTAGTGTCAATGTCAATCAATTTATTATTTTGTTTTTGATAGGATATATTTGTGCTTTCTGTTTTTGATTTTTGTTTTGTTCCGAGTTCTGACTTTTTGTGGCTAATTTTCTCAATTAAACTAGTAAGTAGTAGATACCCCATTATTTTCTGTTAAAAATCGAGAAATTCAGACAGGAAAGCACTAATGTCGAATATGACAACAAAAGGGCAGAAGGAAATGTGTGCCTCTGCCTCTGCAATGATGATGGTTTTTAATGATGAGTCTGATAGTACAAGTAGCTCCAGTTCTGAAGAGGAAGATCTCCAAACTTGTGTTCAAATACAAATTAATCATAATATAAATACTATTACTGTTGCCACCAATATTGATGAGAGAATCCCGGGTCAAACAATAGTTGGCTATGTGGAAAAAATAATTCCAAATTACTCCAGAGAAGTCTTTAAACAGCAATTTAGGTAGGTACTTATAAGCCTTGCACTCTACTTCTAAAACATATTTTTGATAATGGCTAAAATTTTTGTTAATAAAACTTATGTTTCTTTTTAGAATGTATCCAGAGACGGTGGATATTATCCTTGGGCATATTGGCCCTGCGTTAAGAAGAATGGGTAATTCCGGAAGAAACAGCATAGATGAGAAGAAGCAACTTTTAGTAGCAATATGGTTTATGGCTACTCCTGATTCTTACAGGTTAGTACCTTAGTATAAAATAATATCTTGTAAGACGTTTTTAAAAATCTGGAAAACACTATAGTCACCAAAAATAAGTGAATAATCGAGTGAATAGTAATTTTTTTTTACTATGATGCTGTCGTTTTAGATTGGATGATTGTCAAGTGGACAAAAAATAATTTTGACTCGTACTTATTTTCGGTGACGCTGACGATAGTACATATATTTTCATTATTTTATTAAAATACATATTTTTTTAGATCAGTTAAAATAAAGTTTGGGATTGGTCGAGCAACTACTTTTAGGGCAGTGAGAAGAGTGTCAAACGCATTACATGCTCTGGCACCACATGTCATTAAATGGCCATCAGGAGCTGAAATTGAAGAAAATGTAAATGCTTTCAAAAATATGCGTGGGTTTCCAGGGGTAATTGGGGCCATTGATGGCACACATATTAAAATAAGAGCTCCCACTGCAGATGCTGAGAGTTATATTAATCGAAAAGGATTTCATTCTATACAACTACAAGTTGTGTGCAATGCAAAAAATAAATTTTTGCATTGTTTTGCTGGATACCCAGGCTCTGTCCACGATGCGCGGGTTTTTAGAAATTCAGAAATAAGTGGTTATTTAAATAATGGTGAGGAGTATTTCAGCAATGATACTCATTTGTTAGGAGACTCAGCATACCCTCTTCATAGACATCTACTTATTCCATTTAGGGACAATGGACACCTAACAATGCGACAAAGAAATTATAATTATTGCCATTCGGCGACTCGAATGACAATAGAGAGGACAATTGGACTGTTTAAAGGTAGATTTCGGATTCTTCTGGATTGTCTGCCATTATGGGACATTAAAAAAATTCCTGAATTTATTATGGCGTGTTGTGTGCTCCATAATATTTGCATGTCACAGAATGACATTTTAGACATACAAATTGAGGAAAATCCAGCTCCGGATGAACCAGAAAATGTTAGAGTTGCAGCAGATGAGGCTGCTCATAAAAGAATTGAGATTATGAATAACTTAGAAATAAGAAGGATCCAATAACCTTCCACTTTCACTTGTGTATTTTTCTATTTATTGTATTTTAGTTTTAAGGATTTATATTAAATTAATTAAGTTCCAAATTTCAATTTGCTTTGATTCCTACGGTTTCTTTTTCCGTTATTTCAAATATAAATTAACCTATAATTTTTTGTTATTTATTTTAAATAATTATAAAATAATCTCTCGGTTTCAATATTGTAACATGTAAATAATGTTCTTAACATGTTGTTCATCATGTCAACGACTGCATGATGTTGCTAGGGCCAGTTATAAAATTTAAGACAATTTAATTTAATAATTTTAATAAGTAACAAAAGTAAAGACATAACAATATAACAGGAACTAAAAAAAAACTCTAATATCAACCTTGATAAAAGTCGAAAGTCACTCAAATAACTAAATTAACAATTTCACAGTTGTAATTAGTATTAACAAAAGTAAAGAAATATAAATATAACTACCAGGAACAAAAAAAGGAACTCTAATATAAAGGTTAAAGAAAGTCAAAAGTCACTTAACAAAAGTAACGAGCAATAAAAATTATTTCTCTGCCATCTTTTTAAAGATGTCTAAGAAGGCCCTTTGCATTTCCATTTTTTCTGCGTGCTGCTTGGCCTTTCTTTCCTCTCTTTCTGCTTTCTCCCTATGTCTTTTAATATTCTGTTTATTTATTGATTCTTGCAGCTTGTTAGTTCTGTCAGTGAGTTCTTTTAAAACCGCGTCCTTTTTCATAGGTTTCATTTTCTTTTGAGGTGGTTCTGTTCTAAATAAAGAAAGTATACATACATGTCATGCCTATAGAACACTTGCATGGCTAGTTTCCAAACCAATTATCTATATTGTTAAACAAAGCAAGATTCAAATTTATTTAAATCAGTGGCGGCTCTTCCTTAGGTTTGCAGGTTTGCGCAACCCCCAAAACAAAACTTAAAAAATATAAAACAAAAATAGTAGAACTAAATTTTAGTACCTAATTATACTGCGGCAACACCCAACATTTCTCATATCGGGTCTTCAAAAAAAAAACCAATCGAAGATTGCTTTGATTACGAAAACGTACGTCGCATTCCTGTTTATTTATTGGACAGTATTATTGACAAATCATTTTGACATTAAAGTTCATTGAGAAAATTAAATAAAAATATTGCTAAGACATACGTTTAAAAAACCATAGCAATCTTAGATTGGTTTTTTTTTTTTTGAAGACCCGATACCTTTTCACCGCACAACATATGGTGAAAATAATCCTATTGACAGATATATGTCATTAATTAATAACTTAAATATTGATATATTTGATATGACCCTAGGTCAATTAAAAACGTACCTGAAGAATATGTGATATTTTTTGTATAACAGGGTCAATTCTGGTTTGTATATTATTTGTTGTACCTAATTCTATTTTATGTTTCCATATGTTAACTACTCATTAAGTATCAAGATCAAGATATTTTTCATAATACCTACATACTTTTACTAATACTAATACCTACTTACTTAAAAGATGATTTTTGGCTGTACTTGATTTGTTTTATATTATTGTGTAGTATTAATTTTTATAGTTAAATAATATTTATTATTTATGTAGTTATAGTTATAATATATATATAAAGTACCTAACTTATGCTTTATTCTTTATATTTTTTCTTAAATTGTATTTTAACAGTTAATGTGGTTTTCCCGTAAATAAATAAATAAATAAATAAAAAATAAATTATACCAAAATTTGGGACCTACATAATATGCAGTCAATTAATAAAATAATTTCACCAACTTCGCCAAAATATCAATAACTGACAGGCCGCCGGCGACTTCGAGTAGCGGCGTCGAGTCGCTGGATTGCAGCTCCAAAGCAAACCGATCTATTATATGAAGGCGCACATTTGGTTGCCTGTCTTTGTGTGGATTCAAAATCCGCTCCATAAGCTCCAGCAGGTTGCAAGCTAAGTGCAAACTTTGTTTATTTTTTTTGCTCGCAGCGCAGATTAGGTTTGTTTTGTGAAGTTTTGTCGCGTGGGGGTGAAAAAAAAAAGAATTCTGTTCAAAATTTAATTGCCGAGCCATTCTGTGGGCGTTCATCAACCGATAAGGCTGAAATAAAAAGACTTTGAAGGCCTACTCCAAATTTAAAAATTGAACAAACTGTAACTAGCAAAAAAAGGACTTTCACCAGGACATTTATTCTGGACCTTCACGAAAAACATGCACAATTGAAATTGCAACCCCCACATTTTTAATATACGAGCCGCCACTGATTTAAATACTAGATGTTATTAATTTGCTATGTTGTAATATTATCAAGTATTTTTCTAAGTAAATTATTATACACATCTTTTACTCAAACTTATAATGTACACACCTTTGGAACAATCTCCTGTTAAATTTTTTGGTTGTCCTGTGGAACTCGCTAAGGCCACCGGCTTCATGTAGGCCTTGTCCCCTAGCAATGTAGTCATTGCCTAAAAAATTATAGGATTTTCATGCAAGACAGAGTAATAAACACGTAGAATTCAGAACCTACAGAATAAAATGGCCAAGAAACAGCACTAGCACCTGATCTGTCTTTTTGATCCTTAATATTTTTGTAAGTCCTTTTTAGACCTGTCCACTTTATAGAACATTGTCTGCCATTGACCAAATGACCTTTCTCTATCAGTTGGGCAGCAATAGAACTCCATATTCTTTCGTGCCTCAAGTTTTTTTTGAACTCTTCTACATGGCATTCGTATTGTTCCAAGAGGAGCAATACCGCTCTCTCACTCCAGATAAAAGGTTCATCTATTAAAAACTATAAATATTATGGTTATTTAGATCAATTATTAAATTTTTTATACCTTTTGATGATTGAGAGCAGGAACTTGGACCTGCCCTATCTCTAATCTCCAAGTTATCCTCAGCTAAAAATAAAGTAGGAACATTATATTATACCTAATTATAATCATTATATTGTATATGGGGGGCCATCACGAACCTTCTAAATAAGCTCTGAACCGCTTATTCTTTAGCATTAAATTATCTAATATGATATGAGTCATATGAGTGCGAGGTTGTAGGAAGAATATGTGTACATAATTCGTGCAAAAGTGTCATTTCCATTTCATAGGCGTGCAATTTCGCTCTCTTTCCACAAAAAATATGTACCCAATATACTATTAATATCTAAGGTAATATCCTTTTAAGGAAGAAGGAAATATTACCTGACATATTGTCTTTTTTCTCAGTCAGTCTCTCATCAGTCCTATTTTCCTCAAGTTGAATTTGATCCTCAGGCAACCAAAACTGCTGGTCAGTACCTAAAGAAAAAAAAAGGTTTTTACTACAGTTTGACCTACCCTTTTAAGTACCAAAATTCTCTACCTAGCTATATAATATTATTGAGAGAATAAAACAGTGTAACTATATTTATTAACATATTATAACAATATTCAATCGATCAAATGAAAATAAATAGAGTACCTACCTTTCTTGACGATAAGAAAATGTCCCATGGAATTTCGAATGGGGTTGCCATCCGCATCTGTTACAATTTCGAACATTTTCGTTTTCAATTCTTAAATTATTTACCCCACAACAAACCAATTTATAACCTCAAACAACAATAACAACAAACAAAAATGGCTACCGCATCAAATGCTGCTCGAACCTCGGACAGCGTTTGATGTCTGATGATGGTGGGGAGAGTAGGCGGAGCTAGCAAGCATCAGTAGCGCCAAAAGCGAATTACGGAACGTTAAAATAGCGTCATCAGCGCTGATGCGGTATTTCGGAATGACTCCGTAGACAACGTGTCAACAATGTAAAATAATATAAATGACGTTTAATTCTAACCTCACACTTTCCTTTTTTTAATTTTTTTTTTATTTTATTATTGGTTTTCCTGATATTTTATAATCAGTGAATGCTGATGTCGAAGTGATAGTGATAGTATAGTAACTTTTGATATTTTTTTCGAATTTTTTAAAATAAGTTATTGTTTACGCCGCATGTAGACAATGTGTAAACAAATGCTCACGTAAACAATTCGAATTGTCTACGCGTAGACAATCAATTGTTTACGTTGACATTGTCTACAGGCACATCACTGGTTAAAACAAGAAGTAAGTGAAGAATTTTTATCACCTATACGAATAATAATAATTGACACTAGTAGAAAATTTTTATGTAAAAAAAAATACAACTTTATTTGAATTAACATTGGGCGCGTTCACCAGATACAAACGTTAGTAAAACTCTTCACGATTGTTCCGCTGAACGCTACGTTTGTGTTGAAACTTGTAACCAATCATGTTTTGCAAACGGTCGCTATTTTTGAATCCAACAAAACTATCCCAAATAGTTCAAACTGCTCCGAACGGTTCGAACTTCTCCGCACGGTTGGAATTGCTCCGAACAGCTCAAAACTTCTCCGGACAGCGAATTGCTCAAAACGGCTCGGAACACTCCCAACTGCTCCAAACAGTTCGAAATGTTTAGTTTCGAAAGAAGATGTTACGAACAGAGCTGCTTCGAACGGTTCGGACTGCTCCAATCGGTTCGAATCGAGAAATTTGTAGAATATTACGAGATCGAAATCACTTGAGGTTTGTTTCACACAATTGTCATCCAGTAGTTTTACAACGATTTCATTGGCTCTAACTGTTTGACCTCATAAGCAAGCCTTAAAGTCTGTTTTTTTTTTAAAGATAATTCCCTTAGTCAAAAATTTAGTAACTTTGTTGGCAACACAAGCCTTTTCTACATAAAAAATTTGTGTTTGAAAGCATTGACAATTTTACATTGTATTGCCAACATAATGTCATTTTGACTTTTATCTTTAAAAAAAAACAGACTTTATGTGATTGCAATCAGTTTGTGCAGATCGAGAGAATACCCTAGATAATCACTTGTGAGCTTGTTTTCCGATTAGTGGAATAAAATCACTGCTCTAACTCGCTGTTTTCTGAGGGTGGGTGATTCCGAGGTATAACCAGATGAAACCTATATCATCTTGTAGAGGACACCTTGGGTCATAGGAAATGGGAATGTACAACTTTTTTTAATAGGACTGAACTTTGAAATCGGCCCTTAAACGTGACTGAGCTCGAATTTGAAAAACTATGTTTTTCTAAACATTACCCGCTGTATTAATTTAAGCATACAATCTAAAATTCTGATTTTTTGCACACTTTTACTTGAAATATGAGCGCTTCTAATGACAGTTCAGAAAGGACCCCGCACATTTCTTATGGAAAAGTGATCTATGTGGAATTTGGCTGAATTTTTGATATTGTGTAGAGGCAGTCGTCCTTAACAAAAGTTAACATTGCGCTAATGTTTAAAACCGAACAGTTTTTAAGATATCAATTAAAAACTTTTTCAATATAATACTCTTAAGTATGACGTCACCAATATGCTCGCAGTCCCGAGAATGATTACTATCCTTTCCACTTTCGATTTTGACTATACTCTTCTCGTTTTAACATTAAGAAATCAGTGGCGTAGCAAGTAGGGGGACAGGGGGGGCGACGGCCCCCCCGCCCCTACACGTATGGCGCCCCTACCGCTCTTAAAAACAAAAGCAAAATATAAGAAATTATAAAATTATGCTGTTTCTTATTTATCTTATTGACCTCTTCACCCTTTATTCTTTATCGTAAGTCAGCATTGTCGGCAAATGGTTCAGTTCTATCAAAGGAAAGGAGATAGTTTCTGTTTTGATGATTGATATAGTATTTATTCATTAAACTATGGGTTAATGGGTTGGATGATGGGGCTGTCATCCGTCCGAATTTCCCCGGATTTGTTCTAGTTTTCAAGGCGTCAGGAGACGCCAGGAAGGATTTTTTGAAGTTAACGGCATGTCCACGCATTATTTCTTGTAAGGATTAAAATAGGTACATAAATGTTTTTCGGCGTGGCACCGTGGCACCCGAAAAAAGAAAGGTTTTTGAAGGAAATAAACTTTTTCTCCCAAGGAAATTTTTCGCCTCCGGCGGCGCCCGTTTTCCCCCAATAAGCAAATATTACAAAAGCATACAAACATTCATTTGTTATCTTTCCTTCCCCCCCCCCCCAAGAATTATGCGCCCCTTATGTGTTTGCCCCCTCCGCCCCGCAAGGCTGGCTACGCCAGTGTAAGAAATAAAAAAAAAAACAACAACATTTACAAATGAAATCGCTATATGACTGAGATGACATGACGTTGACGATTGCGGCATGAGTTGAGTTCGGAATGGGATTTTAGTGCAGTGCTAGTGCGGTGTTCGTGTAGTGTAGTGTTGTATCACGTGATGAAAGTGTAATCGGCGGTGTAACACCAAATACACCATCGCTTTGTAACGAGTGAACGGTGTCCCACCATATTTACACCATTTGGACGCCAAATCATTTCAAACGCAATTTTTTATTTTTTTTTATAACTTTATTTGTGAACTTAAAACAGTACATTTAAATGACTGGTAACAAGTCCTAATATTTAAGAATAATAACAATAATAAATAAATCTGAGACTACACCTATTATTTTACACAGATATTACTTATAGCGAAACTAAAACCCATAAAGAATATATACAATATCATCCCCATGTTAACTATGAGTTTTGAACAAACAAATAGTTTTTAATTCTGATAGAAAAAGGTACAGGAGCAGTTATTCTTTTAGTATCTTCTGGAATTTTATTGTAGGATCCTGAGGCTTGGTTGATTACACTGTTCTTTCTCAGGTTTGTTCTTGATGTTGAAACATACAAATTACTGCGTTGCCTGGTACTGTGACAGTGAATATTACTACTTTTAATTGGTTTAATATTAGATTTAATTTGTTTCTGTATAATTTTTTGCATTAGTTTACATTCCTCCAAATGGACAACTTGTTCAACTTTTAAGTGCTTATAGTTTTTATATATTTCTTTAGTAGGGTACAATCTTGGAAGTTTATATAAATATTTAATAAAACGATTTTGAAGTCTCTGGAGTTTTTGAATTTGTGTTTTTGAAGCAGACGCCCAAATTGTACACATGTATTGCAAGTGTGATTTAAATATTGCTTCGTATAATGCTGGTTTCATAAAATCAGGAAGAGTTACAACACATCTTTTTATAGCACCACAAGCACTGGCCAATTTTTGCTTCAATTTATTTAGGTGATATTTGAATGTTAAATCCTTGTCTACTATAAGCCCTAAATATTTATAAAAATCTACATTTTTTAACAAAACATTGTTTAATTTAATGTTTATGGCATTTGATAGTTTATTTTTTTGTTTGAACAGCATATATACAGTTTTACTTATATTAATTTTCAAATTGTTTTTTAGTAACCATTTGAAGTATGTTAGAAGGCATTGATTAACATCATGTTCCAAGCTTTTGTATCCTGACCCTCAAACAGTAAGACAGTGTCATCAGCAAAGGTTATGTATTTACATCTTAAGTCTACCTTTGATAAACTATGTACGTATATCAAATAGAGCAGCGGCCCCAAAACAGAGCCCTGTGGGACGCCTGTAGTTGGTTTTTCTCGGTTGCTTTCCTTTTGATTCACAAATGTATATTGTTGTCTGTCAGTAAGGTAAGTTTTGATAAGGTTGTGAGCTATACCTCTCATTCCCATACTGTATAATTTGTCCAGGAGAATTGTAGTATTAACAGTGTCAAAGGCTTTTTGAAGATCTGTGAAGACTACTATTACAAAATTATTTTTGTCCAATCCAGCAGAAATATACTCAATTAAATCTATCGCTGCTGCTTGTGTATTGCTAGCTTTTTGAAAGCCATATTGTTGAGGGTCGAATTTAAATGAGTTGTCAATAAAATTACATAATCTTGCCTTTATTAATTTCTCTGTAATTTTAGACAATGTTGATATGAGTGCAATAGGCCTTTTGTTACCTGGTTCATGCCGACTACCAGACTTGTGAATCGGAATAATTTTGGCTAGCTTTAGACAATCGGGATACTGACCATCTGACATCATCTTATTAATTAAATAAGCCAGAATAGGAACTAGCAACTCTTTTGAGTCCTGTATGTCTGTCGTTGTTATCCCATCTGGTCCAGGAGCTGAATTTTTGTTTAAACTGTCTATTATTTGTGTTAATTCTTCTCCAGTACATGGGTTGAAAAAAATAGACTGATCTTGGTGTTCTTCTGGAAATTCGTCATCGAAGCATATGTGTGTGTAAAGCTGTCTTTGTTGCACAACTTCTTGACCAATATTGCTTCCTATGTCTCTAAAGTAGATGTTCAGATTATTTGCTATCTGCTGATCTTCATCGATTTTTTTGCCATTAATTAATAGGTGATCAATATGGTTTGTCTCATCATGCCTTGCATAATTATTCGAAATAACACTGTTCACAACCTGCCATGTTTTTCTTATATTTCCACGAGCAATTTCAAACTTTCGAGAAATGTAGGTTCTTTTAAGCTTGTGTTTTAAATTGTTACATTGATTTTTCAAAGATTTAAATTCACTTCTTAAGTAAGTGTTGTCCGGATTTCGTTTTAATTTTGTGTAAGTTTTATCTCTCTGCTTTATCAGATACAAAAAGTGA